TGCCCCGTGCCTTGGTTCCGACAGTGGTATCGAGAAGCCGACAGTCCAGAAAGCAATGGCAAACTACTGGACGTAAACTTGCCTAGGAAAACCACAACAGCCAAGGAATGATGGGGTTGGTTCTATTACTACTACTGCTGATTCTCTTTCTTCTGTATTATCACTTGATGTGATACCTTCCTCAGTGTAACTGTTACCTGCTAAAGCTTACAAGTGCGAAAAGATCAAGCCGCGCCTCGACCCCTAGTCTCCCACCACAATATGTATGCCGACTTCCTTGATTAAGTGCCGAGTTTCTGTTCCTTGTCTCTGACAAAGACCCCACTAACAGACGGACCCGGTAACACAGCGGCCATTACATGTTTGTTGGGGTAAATATAGAAGCGCATTAATACTCCTGTCACTGGATGACGTCGTTGCTGCTGCTGTCACAGAGAAAACAACAACATTGTGTCACGAATTATGCAGTCTGTTCCTACATGGCTGTCACAGCCTGGTCTTAAATACATTCGTTCAGGAAAACAAGTTAGCTGGTGTTTTATTTTGGCAGCCCTAACCAGGATCTTCACAATCTGCAACAACAACAACAAATTTTAATAGCATGTCGGTGAATCGTTTCTCTTCTAGCTTTCTGCTGCTGTTGTTTTTGCCTGTGAATGCAGCAATAATGATCAACGTAGACAAAACAGCAGTGATGACATTCACCAGACAAGGAAGAACTACCAATATCAAAATGGATTAACATTAGTTAAAGCAGGCGAACGATTTGTACATATCTGGGAAGCATTTTTTTTTAAAGAGAAGACGAAAGAAGTAATAAAGAAATCCAACAAAGATGCCAAAAAGCCTGTCTAATTTTAGGCAAAACGGGACCAATTTTTAAATACACGCATGTGAATATGAACACTTGAACACTGTTCAACACAGTATTCTTACCAATGCCATGATATAAATGTCAAACATGGACACTGTCTTCAGAAGACAAAAGGAAAATGGTCGCGAGGAAAATGTTTACCTACTATGCTAGGTGTAACGAGGAAAGATCGACTTAGGAACGATGGTATCAGGTTCAGAGTCGTCACAGAACAATACTGAACTGCATAGTAAGACAACAAACCAAATGGTTTGGCCATGTAACAAGAGTGGCATCAAACAGGGCACCACAGAGAGCAATGTAAAACATATACAACGGTTACAGAGCCAGAGGTCGACCACGCAGATATGGACCGCAGAAATATCAAAGACAATGAAAAGTAGTTTACGCGACGCGAACAGAAAGGGCCCGTTCCAGGGATCTCTTCCTGTCCTGAGACCGCGAGGCGTTCCAGAGATCTCTTCCTGTCCTGAGACCGCGAGGCGTTCCAGAGATTTCTTCCTGTCCTGAGACCGCGAGGCGTTCCAGAGATCTCTTCCTGTCCTGAGACCGCGAGGCGTTCCAGAGATCTCTTCCTGTCCTGAGGCCGCGAGGCGTTCCAGATATCTCTTCCTGTCCTGAGGCCGCGAGACGTTCCAGAGATCTCTTCCTGCCCTGAGGCCGCGAGGCGTTCCAGAGATCTCTTCCTGTCCTGTGGCCGCGAGGCGTTCTAGAGATCTCTTCCTGTCCTGTGGCCGCGAGGCGTTCCAGGGATGGAGAAATGAAGAAATTAAAAAGAAAAAGCAGAAGCATAGGCCCTCAGTCAGTCGTCTTGCGTGAAAAATGTGGATTAGATATTATTATTCGCAATACGATGATAATTACGAGACTGAGATAATTAGCTAAAGAAAGCAAAGGCGAACATCGAACATCACAGACAACAAGGAGACATGAAAACAATCACATCACAGATAACAAGGAATCATGAAAACAATCACATCACAGATAACAAGGAGTCATGAAAACAATCACAACACAGACAACAAGGAGTCATGAAAACAATCACATCACAGATAACAAGGAGTCATGAAAACAATCACATTACAGACAACAAGGAATCATGAAAACAATCACATTACAGATAACAAGGAGACATGAAAACAATCACATCACAGACAACAAGGAGACATGAAAACAATCACATTACAGACAACAAGGAGACATGAAAACAATCACATCACAGACAACAAGGAAACATGAAAACAACCAAATCACAGACAACAAGGAGACATGAAAACAATCACATCACAGACAACAAGGAAACATGAAAACAACCAAATCACAGACAACAAGGAGACATGAAAACAATCACATCACAGACAACAAGGAAACATGAAAACAACCAAATCACAGACAACAAGGAGACATGAAAACAATCACATTACAGACAACAAGGAGACATGAAAACAATCAGCAAGTTTCTTTTAACTTGATCATGTAGTAACAGACGCTGGTAGAACTAAACTCAAAGTCAAAGGCCTGGGATATTTTCAAGAAATTAAATTAAAATACGAAGAAATCTAGAGAGATCAACTGTCACTATCCATTTTCTTCTTCTTCTGCCTTCTAGCCCCCAGTGGAGCATAGGCTCTCAACATACTCATGCCAAGTCGTTTTTTATTCCTTCGCTATCACATGCGGCTCTCCCTTTATTCCCCCCCCCCTCCCCTTTTCTCTATCTTTTCAACTTCACTCTGTAGCTCCATTCTCCGTGTGTTTTTGGTCTTTTTATTTCTATGTCCCTGTTGGTTCCGTTGCAAAGACATTCTAGTTATATTGTCCTAAAGTGCTCTCAGCTTTTGTCCTATCCAACGCCAGCGTTTTCTTCCACTCTTGATCTACTGGAACTTGTTTAGGTCTCTCCAAAGCTGCTCATTGTTAATTATATCATACCATTTAATTCCCTCTATTCTGCACAGGCACCAGTTAATGAATGTCTCTAGTTTATTAGACATCGCCTCAGTTGTTCTCCATGTTTCCGCTGCATACAGCACTGGTGATTTGACAAGAGAATTACAAATTTTAAGTTTTTTATTAGTTGTGATTTCTGTTGGTCGGCTCTGTGGCTAAGTCCATGTCAACGATTCGCAATGCCGGGCTACGGGGTTCGATCCCAACTGCGGGCCATGCAAATTTCCTAGTGTTATGAAAGCTCTCCTTGCCTTTTATTCCCCCACCCCCCCCCCCCCCGGTATTTTAACTTCTCTATCAGTTCCTCCCCCCCATCTTTATCTACATTACCGCTTAAACAGGTGTACGACTCCACGTCTTGGAGTGGGATAACATTGAGAGAAACCACACTACTATTTGTCTAAATTATTCTCATTATCTTTGTCTTTCCCTCACTGTCATTACTGGCTGTACCCTGAGAGGGAAATGGCATCTGACATCAGTGACGAGGCGTGATCAGTTCGCATGCGTTAGCGTTAGGAGGTAACAATTACACAAAAGAGGTACCGTGTGATAGTTTTCTCCACGTTGCTTCGTTGTTGACAGTGCGAGTGCAGCAGCTAGCATCGTAATTCTGGTAATGTGTAGCATACACTACAGTTTTTGCATGAATGCCCTAAGCAGTGCTACCAGTGCCAGACATGGTCACTCACAACAAACCATAACAGAAAATGAGTAACCGCGGAAATGAGATGTCTGAGAAGGGCTGCAGGAGTGACCATGAGAGATAAGATCAGGAATGAGATCATAAGAGAAAAAGTCGGCACAGAACCAATTCTAAATTACATACAAAGACAGCAAGTGAAATGGTTTGCCCACTTAGAGAGAATGCCTTGTGACACCATACCATACAAAGCATACATGGAAAGAAAAGGAGGTCGTAGAGCAAGAGGTAGACCAAGAACAAGATTGAAGGATAACATCAGAGAAACTCTACAACAGCACGATGTGCCTATGGTCGAGGCAGCCAGAAGAGCTAGAAACAGAATCTTATATCTCACTCGACACCCACAGCGGTAAAAGAGGAAGTGAAGAAGAAGAAGAAGATGCCCTAAGCAGGCAGCCATCGTTCTTATCGCTGTGTTCGCGACGTAAAGCAAGTGACGTATTTATAATAAATAGCAAACAGTAATCATAAATAGTGAAGATAACATGTAAGCAACGACTTGCTCGCCACTGCCGGACATCAGTAACCCGCCCCAGTTTAGGGTACATGTTTGTTTATACTTTTTTGGTTATGTTAAAGCTCCCACTCCGGCTGTTGTATGGGGGCCATAAATATAACGAAGCGGTTGAACGGGGTTTCTGTGACTTGTGTCTGGGTGATCCTCATCCGAATGGTGGCACTTTGTGTCACCAGGTTTTTAATTTAAAAAAAAAAGAATGTGTTCCGTTGATTTCGACAATGGCGCCGAGAGCTGACCGTTTAGAAAGCAATGGCAAACTACTGAACGCAAACTTGCCTAGAAAAACCACCACAGCCAAACAAAATGATAGGGTTGGTTCTGCAACGTCCTGTAAATGATTCGCTACTAACTTCATAGAAAAAAAAGTAAACAAGGGGCAACAACCATAATTGTGGGTTCGCTTATTTCCCTTTGGTGTCTCAGTACTCATGCTTACTTTCCTTTTCGTTTTTACCTGCCATTTGTCCTCAGCATTTGTAAATTGCTTTAAAAAACGTATTTTGTCACGACGGTTCCTGTTGCCATTTATTATCAGCTACCCTTCAACTGTCTGAGATTACTAACATTCCCCCAACTCTCTCCTCTCATTTGTCATCACCAGTTTGTTGACTCTCCACTTGAAGCTCTGACGCACTAACATCTTCACCCGCCTTCTACCAAGTGACCCTTCGTGCGTCTCTACAAAGGGAGTTATTACCTATACATATAGTCGTCCCCTTGTGGGATGCAATTTTTCGTTATTTGAAGCCCCACTCTGGCTTTTACCGGGGGCCCTGAATATAGCTGGGTTTCTGGGACCTCTCCATGGGTGATCCTCATCCACATGGTGGCACTTTGTGTCATCGTGTGTTTATCGCTTGTTTAATGTCCTAGTGGGGTGCAACTGCCTACCTACCTTCACTAGCCTTCTACCAGGTGACCTTTTGTGCGTCTCTACCAAGGTACCATTCATGAATACTCTTATCTCCACATTGGACTACAGGCTACATGTAACCGTCAAACTCCCTTATATAACTTGTGGGTCACGACCTTTTTTTTTTGGGTCGAACGACCCTTTCACAGAGGTCGCCATAGGCAATCGGAAGACACATATTCACTAAAGTTATGAAGTAGCAACAAAAAATAATTGTATGGTTGGGGGTCGCCGCAACATGAGGAATTGTATCAAAGGGTCGCCACATTAGGAAGGTTAAGAACCCGTGATGTACGGCGTAGCGGGGTGTCCAGGGTTTGTTACTGTTTGATTGCCATCGGTAATGTCTTTCTGGAGTCCCTGGGTGTCACAAGCGGCAGTGGCATGGTTCAATCAAATTGTGACTCAACCCACCAATAGACTAAGACAGTGATTCCCAAACTGTGCTCCTCGCCGCTCCGGGAAACCTCGATCTCTTCACGGGGGCGCGGCGAAATATTGTAAAAGCTTTATAATTAATTTAACCAAGTCACGAATAGTCTCATACTTTTACTTAGGTAAGGGCGCCGTGGGAGACGTTTAATTGAAAAAAGGCGCCGCGACCAAGAAATGTTTGGGAAACACTGGACTACGATCTAGTATCCAAGAAACGGGGCTGAATTGTTTCTTCTTCTTCTCTTTCTTTTTTACCGCTTCGGGTTTTCGGGGAAAATATAGTGTCCTACTTCTTGCTCTTCTGGACGCCTCGACCAGACACACGTCGTGCTGTTGTAGAGTTTCTCTGATGTTATCTTTCCGTTGTGTTGTGTGTGGACACCTAACCCAAATATTCTTCCCAGGACTCGCCTTTGGGGAGACACAATGTATCATATTGAGGCATATGACAAGGCACAACAAACGGACATGGCCAACATATCAAGTTTTTTGGCTGTTGGAAACACAATGAATCCCCAGCAGCTTGGCAGCAGAAAGGCTAGCCGTGACGCGACGCCAGAACTGTAGACTGTATTTTAGTCCAGACTCTATCTGGGCAGTTGCCACTTCAATGAAGACAAAACCGTATGGTACACGGGGGCGTCCAAAAGCTAGTTACAGTAGCACGAAAACGTTGAAATTTATACAACAACAGGCAGGCTACACAGTAAAACATGCATAAACACGCACCTGCGGGAATTAAAATGTGGGAACAGCGGCGGAGCAAAAAAGCGTACAGCAAATATTTTCGCCATCTGTTGCTCGAGAATTACAAACACTGTTCGTAATTATGAATTGCCCTGCTCTGTTCAGAGCAGAACCATCTTGCTTTGATTTTGACAACCATAAGAAGAGCTGACTATCTAGAAAGCAATGGCAAACTACTGAATAAAACATTACCTAGTAAAACTACAAGTAGTCAACACATTCCAGCGTTGACGGATACGTTATTTTTTTTTTTTTAAGCAAAAAAAATTTTTTTGTTGTTGTTGTTAACGAGCACATGTGAACGAAGATTAAGAAACAACTGTTTAACAACAATTTATCAGTCCAACACACTAAAATAGTTCCACATTAATTTGCTGCAACACAAGCAAAAAATGCGAGTCCGGGCTCGATGTATTACATTTTTTGTAACACTTCCAAGGTGAATGCTATTTTAGAATTGTTTTGTAACCACCTGCCGGTCAAAGGGTAAATTTTTTGTGTTTTCAAACAAATTGTTTTGCGCGCCAGTTTAGACATAACCAGGTTGACCCCTGCCTCCACGTGACACGATGGCATTAACATAATCCACATAGCTGGTTTTAAATTCGCCACACTGTTGTTATTTATCTTTCTTAATCCCATTCTCAACATTTTTGTAAGTAATTTACGGCAATTTTAACTGTACCTGTTATTTAAAATATTCCATTTTGTTGTTATTTATCTTTCTTAATCTCGTTTTTAACGTGTTTCAATTTAATATATTGCAATTTTAACTTTACTGTAATTTAAAATATTCTACATTGTTGTTATTTATTTTTCTTAATCCCGTCTGCAACATGTTGTAATTTAATATGCGTTTTCTTTTTGTTCTCGGGAAATTTTCACTCGGTAATTTTCACGGCACAGTGGTTGGTGGGGTAAAGCCCCTACCACTGGCCATGAAGGCTAGAGGATCGATACATCTAGGGGTGCCTTATAGGCAGAATTTGCCAAGACAATGCAATATGTGTAAGATTAACTTAGAGGAAATCTTGAGTTACTTCTACAACCCAGGATAGAAGTGGGCAGATTAATTTATACTTAGGCACTTCAAAAGGCTAGATAATGGTATTGGTCTTAGCGTTTACCAGCTGTAAGCTCCGGTGGAAAGTTCTGGTTGTTCGTCCACTCTTGGACTCTGGTGTTGTTGCAGAACTTGAGTTTTGTGTGCACATCTGTTTTAAAGATTTAGCTCACTTGTATGCAGACTGTTAGCTCCTCGCCTCTCAGGCAGACACAGTCCGACTTGAAAGGATACATCTTCTAATTGTCTACTCTTACGACATGCTGGCTGCGATGCAGTGTATCTTCCTTTTTTTTCACAAAATGTGAGGAACCCACACGGATGGGTCAGTAGGGAACCAACACGGATGGGTCAGTAGGGAACCCACACGGATGGGTCAACATCAAATCGCCCACTTTACTCCCCATAGCACGCCATGCTCAATTTTAATCACGGTCGATTTAGAAGACCACGTCTTTATTTCTGTAATGCTGCTCTCTTGATAGAGATTCAAACCCACAACAATCAACATGGTAGGCGGGTGTACTAGCTACTGCTCTGCCGAGGCTTCATTCGTGCATCCATCAATCAGATGGACCTTAACAGAACGACGCTGTCGTCACGACACTGAAAAAAGTCTCATTATCTCAAACCCTATGTGCTTTCGTAGCCAGTACATCTTCTGTGTCCTGCGTCCATCTTCGCGGAGGTCTGCCTATGGCTGCTTTTGCTGAGTCTGTAACAGCATCGCCGTGTTTTTTTTTTTTTTTTTTTTGTTTTTTGTGTTTTCAGGTCACCAAGAGTTTTCACATGGTCAAAATACCTCAGCTGTCGAGACAGAGTGCTGTTTATGAGCCAATTCTCCTTGATGTTCAGATCATTCATCATGTCTGTGTTTTTCTATTTCTTAGCCCATGGTGTTGTAAGGATATTTCTATAGTATTTTGGTTCTTCTTCTTCTTCGCGTTCACCGGTTGTAACTTCAGGGGAAAGTTCTGGTTGTTCGTCCACCTCTAGATTTTAGTCTTGTTCCACAACCTGGGTATTGCGTGCACATCCGTTTCACGTATCTGACTTATTTGTATGCAGATTGTTGGTTCCTTGCCTCTCAGGCAGATGCACTCCGACTTCGAAGGAAGCCCCCTCCCCCCTCTATTTCCCCCACACACCACAAACCCCTCTTCCCCAGTTAGTCGAATTTTACGACATGCTTGTTGGGGAGGTAGTAGGACTATTCTTGTTTTCCCGCCATAATTGGACTTATACGAGAAGCCTTTCATTTCAAGAGCTCCAATTTTGTTTGTCAGTGATTGAGTGAGAGTCCAAGACTCACATCCGTCAGCTGCCACAGAAAAGTTACATGATCTCAAAACTGTTACTTCAACTCACTCACAGGTGTCGTGCCATATCTTCTTCGTGCTGTTTAGTCTCTGCATTGCTAATTCAGGACTTTTTTTTCAGACTTCTTCATTAAAAAAGTTTAACTTTAGGTCTTTCTCGTCTGCAGCCGCCATTGGGAGCTGCCAGGATATGACCTCATTCATGTTCCAAGCCCTGGGTATGGATCCACCTCCGATGCTGCCAGTCATGCCTCAGTCTCTGAGAGAGCACCTCTACCCTGGAGCCCGGGAGCAACAACAGCTGATGCTCCAGAAGCGGCTGCAGCTGCAGCAGCAGAAGCAAAGATACCTCAACTACCTGATGACCCAGAGGCAGCGACAGGCGAAAGCGACCCCTTACAGGTAGGGACCGCTCGGGGTCAGTGACGTCTGCAGTAGGTCAAGAAGACATTGGTGGGAGGAACAAGGGGGAGATTGGTTGGTTAGTGATTGTACCCCACCAGGACACCGCCTAGAGGTCCCAGAAACCCCTTTAGCCGTTATGGCCATATCTATGGCTAGTCCATATTTATGGCCTGGGTATATTCAGGGCCCCCGGCAGAAGCCAGCGTGGGCCTTCAAATAACCAAAAAATTGCATCTTACATGGGGACGACTTATGTGAATAATTACGAGGGGGGAGGGGGTCAATTTGATGGAAAGGATATGTAATTAATTCTTTTCTTTCTTTTGTTTCGCTAACATCACAGTTAGTTGTTATTACCTTTATCACCACCACTGTTAATTAATTGTTATTACCTTTATCACCACCACTGTTAATTAATTGTTATTACCTTTATCACCACCACTGTTAATTAATTGTTATTACCTTTATCACCACCACTGTTAATAAATTGTTATTACCTTTATCACCACCACTGTTAATTAATTGTTATTACCTTTATCACCACCACTGTTAATTAATTGTTATTTACCTTTATCACCACCACTGTTAATTAATTGTTATTACCTTTATCACCACCACTGTTTAATTAATTGTTATTACCTTTATCACCACCACTGTTAATTAATTGTTATTACCTTTTATCACCACCACTGTTAATTAATTGTTATTACCTTTATCACCACCACTGTTAATTAATTGTTATTACCTTTATCACCACCACTGTTAATTAATTGTTATTACCTTTATCACCACCACTGTTAATTAATTGTTATTACCTTTATCACCACCACTGTTAATTAATTGTTATTACCTTTATCACCACCACTGTTAATTAATTGTTATTACCTTTATCACCACCACTGTTAATTAATTGTAATTACCTTTATCACCACCACTGTTAATTAATTGTTATTACCTTTATCACCACCACTGTTAATTAATTGTTATTACCTTTATCACCACCACTGTTAATTAATTGTTATTACCTTTATCACCACCACTGTTAATTAATTGTTTTTACCTTTATCACCACCACTGTTAATTAATTGTTATTACCTTTATCACCACCACTGTTAATTAATTGTTATTACCTTCTATTTATCGCCACCACTGGTAATTTTTTGTTATTACCTTTAATTTATCGCCACCACTGTTAATAATTTGTTACTACCTTTAATTAGATGGCATCATCTTTAATTAATTATGATTATATTTAATGAGTTTAAATTACTTGTCAGTTAGTTGGGACTTTTTTTTTTTGCAAAGTTGTGGCTTATCTTTGATAAGTTTTCACTACCTATAATTAGTTGTTATTACCTTCAATGAGTGGATAAAAGTTGTAATTAGTTGTCATAACCTTTAATTAGCTGTCATTACCTTTAATTAGTTGTCATTACCTTTAATTAGTTGTCATTACCTTTAATTAGCTGTCATTACCTTTAATTAGTTGTAATTGCCTTTAATTAGTTGTCATTACCTTTAATTAGTTGTCATTACCTTTAATTAGTTGTCATTACCTTTAATTAGTTGTCATTGCCTTATCTTTCCCTCGACATCTCAAACGATCGGCTGCATGTTTCTCCTCTGGCCCCCTACAGCTCAAACACACGGCCCAAGCCACAGCCGGAGCCCCGAGACAACTCCGTTTTCTCGCCAGCCAACATGATCAGACAGCCGGGAACCATCAACTCGGCCGCCTCTTCCAAAGGTAGGACATCCTGTACCTCCCAATTTTATGTCTAACTCGGCCAGCTCTTCCAAAGGTAGGACATTCTGTACCTCCCACTGGTATGTCTGACTCGGGCGCCTCTTCCAAAGGTAGGACATCATGTACCTCCCACTGTTATGTCTAACTCCGCCGCCTCTTCCAAAGGTAGGACATCCTGTACCTCACACTGTTATGTCTAACTCGGCCGTCTTTTCCAAAAGTAGGACATCCTGTACCTCCCACTGTTGTGTCTAACTCGGCCGCCTCTTCCAAAGGTAGGACATCCTGTACCTCCCACTGTTATGTCTGACTCGGCCGCCTCTTCCAAAGGTAGGACATCCTGTACCTCTCACTGTTATGTCTAACTTGGCCGGCTTTTCCAAAGGTAGGACATCCTGTACCTCCCACTGTTGTGTCTGACTCGGCCGGCTCTTCCAAAGGTAGGACATCCTGTACCTGCCACTGTTGTGTCTGACTGTAGCATCAGGTGGAACCAACTCAAGGTGGTGATTTCTCCCCCTTCTTTCTTTGTTCACCGGCTGTAAGCTCCTCGAAAGTCCTGGTTGTTCGTCCATTTGTACTTTGTGCCAGGCTCTAATTTTTGTGTGTACATCCGTTTTACTGACATATTTGTGTGCAATTTGTTGTTTCTTGCCGCTCGGGCAGACTTCGACTTCGAAGGGAGTCTTCAGTTAGTCGACTCCTACGACATGCTTGTTGGGAAGGCAGTGGGTTTGTTCTTTTTTTGTTTTCCAAGAATGGAGCCCTGGCACCCACAGGAAGACCAGGCGGTAACGATAAGTCATCTTCAAGCGTGTCGTCAAATGGCGTGGAATTATGCTTCTGCATATCTTAAAAACCTTCAATATATACCAGTTGGTTGCTGACACCTTTCCATAAGCTGAGTTAAGTTGGTTCAAGAACCGACATAACAGCACTCAGGGCATTTCCATAAGCGCTCCGTCCACATCTTCAGCAGCAAGCGCAGAGTTCCGATACCAATGGTGCCAGTAGCAGTCTGATTAAACGTTCGTCTTGCTTTTCCTCTGAGCCTCGAGCATCTGCCAGAACCTCTCGTCACTCCCCGCTGCATCAATCTTACCAGACTGGTGATCCATCTGCTCTGTACACGCTCTCCCAAAAGGCACTAACCACGTCTGCCTTATCATTCATCAGTATCCCACCAAATTGTGCAGAGCCAGCCAGTCTGTCCGCCTGTTCATTTCCCAACACATCGGTGTACCTGGAGAAAAAATCCAGACAATACTCCTCATCCGTGTCCTCCGCCGTCAAGCATGCCACTCTGCACGAAGCATGACTGTCCTCACCTTCCTCGGCTTGCTTTCTGAGGATCCATGCAGATTCGAACCCACGACCTTCGAATCTGCAGGCGAGCATCTAACTGTTACACCACGGGGGCTTCCTCTTTGTTCCCTAAAAGCTCCTATCAGATTTTTCTTTCTCGTGAAACAGCTCTGAGATCGATAAAGTTAAAGCTCAAATGATCTACCTATTTACATAGGGTTTTTATTTCATTTCGCGCATTCTCTTTCTCTCTCTCTCTCTCTCTCTCTCTCTCTCTCTCTCTCTCTCTCTCTCTCTCTCTCTCTCTCTCTCTCTCTCTCTCTCTCTCCAGAACCGCTTGTCGCACAAAGCACGATCTTCCTGTCTGTTTGTGACGATCCCCTAGGATTCCTATAGAAACTGTACTTATGAATATCTTCTCTTCTTCGCGTTCACCGGATGTACACACCAGTGTAAATTCCTGATTGTTTGCTTGCTTCTAGCTTTTGGTCTTGTTCCAAGACTTAATTGTTGAGTGCACATCCCCTTTTCAGATCTGGCTTACTTGTTTGAAGACTGTTGGTTCTCCCCTCACAGGCTGATACAATGTGACTTCCAAGGAAACCTCGACCCAATCTTAGTCTTCTTAGTCGAAGTTTCAACTTCACTACAGTCGGGTTTCCCCGAACTTGCTCCGTTCTTGTGCTGGTGAAAATCAAATAAAATGTGCCTCACTGTTTCATTAAAAAAATATTTTAAAAATAAAAACACTGGGAAACAAACGATTGTTCAAGCACAGTTCAGTATGTATATTGCATTTGCTAGAGACGCCAAAGCCAACAGTCGCCACCAGAAATGTAGTTTGTCTTTGTTAAGTTAGTCGGGGACGATACCTTGGCTATACACACGTAGAAATTTTACATAAGGTATTTTACCAGTTTACATGTAAACCGGCTACCTGACATATTGAATACCACGACTCAGCCGCTGCACAAATAAAAGGCATTTCATGTCGCAAAAAAAGCTCATAGTGCTGCACCAAGCAGTCAATTCAGTAGCGGAACTGTTGACCAGGCTGCCGGTTAGGAACCTGTTCTTACGATGACCACGGAGAAGTGTAAGCAGGTCTTGACCAGTCCGAGCTCTGGTTTTGGTGTACCATCACAGGTCGTTCAGAACCCCTGCATTCTACCCATGAGCTCAAAGAGGCAGTGTGTGAGACACGAACCCACGACCTTTATACTTGACCGCTTACAATTCATTAGAGTTATCATTTATGAATCAAAAAACTCTTTAAATTGAATTCATTGCCATCATATCTTCACGTTTTTCCTCTGGCAGGCAACCCATACAGCGTTGCGTACCAAAATGGCGCTGCCAGGAAAGGTAACTACATTATGCTATTCTTAAAATTGTATTATTTGGGTTGTTTCCCCTAGCAATGAAAAAAAGTTCTGGGAAATGAGAAATCTTCACGGCTCTTCGGGCACGAACAGAGGTGCTTCAGATCAGTTCTTCAAAACATACATCAGCTTCCCTGGGTTAAAAGTGCCCGTTTTATGCTGACTGACAAGTCGTCTTAGGCATCCGGGGTAGGACTTGTGCCTAGCCGAGCCGATCTTTACTCCCGACACTCGCATGAATTTTTAGTTGTGACGAAGGCACGATGCACCCAAAGTCCGACCAACGTCCTCTATGTTTAAGTGTATAAACAATGTCAGAACGATCCACATGCCAGAGGTTTCAGCTCTTTTTTGCCCACAACACCCGCATGCCCTGAAACAAAGATGAAGAAAACTCCACGCACATCGCTGCTGAGATACTACAGCTGCAATAAATAGATGTGACATTGCGATGAAACGCCTTCATCAGCATTCATAAATAAAAAAGAAGATACAGCCAACAATAAAAGAGAAGATGACAATGAGAGGATGTTTGAACTTGAATTGTCACTTTACGTATGGGGAAAAAAAAAAAAGAAACACAATGGAACGTTCTGACAAATGGGGGGAAAGATGACAAAGATAACTAGCAGATTTTGCTCAGTTTTTCGTTTCGGCGTTAAAAAAAAAAAAAAAAATTAGTCTAGATACGCTTGGTGATTCTAGATGTGGAAACATATGATCGCCAATGTCAGCTGTTAAAATATGTAAGGATGATATTGATGACCTGTTGATGATTTCGGTAATAAAACGCAATTCTTAATAAATATTCTTCTTCTTCTTCTTCTTCTTCTTCTTCTTCTTCTTCTTCTTCTTCTTCTTCTTCTTCTTCTTCTTCTTCTTCTTCTTCTTCTTCTTCTTCTTCTTCTTCTTCTTCTTCTTCTTCTTCTTCTTCTTCTTCTTCTTCTTCTTCTTCTTCTTCTTCTTCTTCTTCTTCTTCTTCTTCTTCTTCTTCTTCTTCTTCTTCTTCTTCTTCTTCTTCTTCTTCTTCTTCTTCTTCTTCTTCTTCTTCTTCATTTTCTTTTTCTTTTTCTTTTTCTTCTTCTTCTTCTTCTTCTTCTTCTTCTTCTTCTTCTTCTTCTTCTTCTTCTTCTTCTTCTTCTTCTTCTTCTTCTTCTTCTTCTTCCTCTTCTTCTTCTACTACTACTGCTGCTGCTGCTGCTGCTGCTGCTGTTTCTACTGTTACTGCTGCTCCTGTTTCTGTTGTTGCTGCTTCTTCTTCTCCTACTTGTTTTTCTGTTATTGCTTTTTCTTCTTCTTCTTCTTCTTCTTCTTCTTCTTCTTTTTCTTCTTCTTCTTCTTCTTCTGCTGCTGCTGCTGCTTCTGCTTCCAACCCATCACCCTTAATCCTTACCTTGCTGCTTCTTCCAAGATTTGTGTCTATTTACTATCAAGTCTCTAATTCTATTACTACAATAAAAGCATCAGTTTCAGGTCCCCCACATCTATTTTGTCCACATTAAACATTGATCTAACCTCCATGCTAGTGCCGCCACTGACTGACTCCTGTTTTCTTCCATTTGTCCACACTAAACGTTGATTTCACCTCCATGCTAGTGCCGCCACTGACTGACTCCTGTTTGCTTCCATTTGTCCACACTAAACGTTGATTTCACCTCCATGCTAGTGCCGCCACAGACTGACTCCTGTTTGCTTCCATTTGTCCACACTAAACGTTGATTTCACCTCCATGCTAGTGCCGCCACTGACTGACTCCTGTTTGCTTCCATTTTTCCACACTAAACGTTGATTTCACCTCCATGCTAGTGCCGCCACAGACTGACTCCTTTTTGCTTCCATTTGTCCACACTAAACGTTGATTTCTTCTCCATGCTGGTGCCGCCACTGACTGGCTCCTGTTTGCGTCCATCTGTCTACAGGTACAGTGGGTAACCCTTACAGCACCTCCAGAGCCGCAGCATCAAACGTGCCCGCCGTGCGCAACAGTGCTCGCCGGCAACCTCTCTCGGTAGGTCACACAATCCAATGTTCCGCTATTTATAATAAGCATACAGACGTGTATTTATGGGCACTCATTGACAGAAGTAGGAAGATAGAAGGACACACCAGAAAAAATTACAGTCGAGATCTATAGTTACCGTGCCGATCATCGCACCTGTCACCTCTATATGACGACAGCGCCTCGCCGCAGGAGCAGATGGACTAAGGTGCATAAGCAACTAGGTGGTCTCAGGGGTTCTCCTGCTGTATATTTCAATGCGCCCATATGTATCCCGGAACCCACCCCAATATGAGAGTCAACGTAATTAGCTGCAGGGAGGGTGTGAACATCAGACCAGTGGGCAAGCCTAGACACTACAGCTCCTATTGTTGCTCTAATCACTTCATCGGCCCATATCCACACATGGAGCAGCGGCGCACAATTAGCATGCACCAAACAGGGATGCTGGAACTAGCAGGATATAGCACTTGGAGTTCTCCCCCCTCATAAAAACATTGAATAAGCTGGTGGGAAAGAGGGGGGGGGGGGGGGGGTTCTTTCTTTCATTTCTGTCATTCTGTGGGTCCTTATGTAATATGACATGTATATTATATATTATAAACAAACAGACAAGTATAGATGGATACTCATAGGAAGAAGAAGAAGAAAGACAGGACACGCTCGACAACATTTAAAGCTAGAGGCTACAGTTCAATCCGGCCTTAGTAATGAGTAACAGGCAAAGTCGTGGAAAGTAAAGGAGACCGGTATGATGTTGGCCACAATACCTACTGAGGGCCGGTTGGTCTGCAAAATATAGCAAATGTCTAGCCCTATATGCCCAATACGCCTGATGTCGTGGCTAAGGGTTCTTTACTTTAGGCTGGTAAATCTAGTTTTTAAATGTAGTCGATTTTATGTTTCAGTTTCAGTTTAATTATTTAAGTTATGCATTAGTTATGAGTTAGATTATCTTCACAGCACTCCGGACACATCCATAGGCGCTCAGATTCCCCTCTCAACATACTCATCAGCGTCGCGCGGGTAATAGTACCAGTCCTATGTTGGTTAACAAGACTTCAGAACGTACTATCTCTTGCGTAATCCGTGGTCGGCCATCTTCAGTTAATGCAGCATCTGCCAGTCTGTCAGCTTTTTCATTACCAAAAACGTCTGCATGCCCTGAGTCGAATATGAAAGCAGCTGCACACACAGTAGATTTTTGCAGTGATTTAGGCCACTCGGCGTAACCAGCCTGCCTCGACCCGCGGGATCATGTTCAAAGAATCACTCAGGACACACACGCGGGAATAGTCCTGTAATTCTAGCCACATGAAAGCTTGTCACACCAGCACCTCCATCGTCACGCTGCTGGTAGACATGGAGAAGGCACCGCTGGTAATTGTTACCGTAGAATGCACCTGACCAGATACAGCGACATATGCAATGCAATAGTCTATTGTTTGTGTCTCTTTTTTTTTTTAAATCGAGTTTTGCCAACAACAAATTCATCAAAAACAAACAAAATATACATATCCTTTTCCACTGCAGCCTGCTCAGGCAGCCAAACTCTACAAGACCATGCAAACAATGAAAGTGATGAGGGACCAGCCTCGCAAGATCACGGACGCCAAGGCGGCCGGCTGTAAACTTCCAGTGGATAGTGCGGCAGCCAGTGTGTTGATGTTTGGTGACTGCAAGAATCCAGCCGCTAGAATGGTGTGTCAGGCCGAACTGATGACGTGTATGAACGTTGGGATGGCCGCTATGTGTTGTCCTTACGGAAGTGAGTACAATCTTTCGAAATTCAACCAAATAGGGTGCTTTGTTAATATCCTACCCCAAACAGGGAAAAATGACAGGTCACAGGACAATCTAGCATTTCAGAGGGTGGTAGATAGTGTACATGCAGTCGTGGGACCTAGGCTGCACTCTCTCGTGGGATGTAGGTGGGTTGGGGTTAGGGCCAGTTCTGGATGTTTTGGGGTCGTTAAAAGCATCATAAAGCCGGGAAACCCAGTCTCACCTCCCTCTAATATGTTGGACTGTCCTCTGACGTCATCTGATGTAGGATATTAATAAAGAAAACAAAATAAATTTATGTCTACTGTCTTTATGTTATGTTTCTTTCGGCTTATGTTCTGTGAGGTCAGTTCGTTTGCTCTGTCTGTCTGCTTTCCAGTTTACAGAATGTATGTTTTGCTTCAGACGCTCTATCATTATCTGTCTCTCTGTTTGGTCACTGGATTTCATTCTATCTGATCTATTTGTCAGCTTTCCTTTTACTTGTCTGTCTGTCTATTCTATCGGCCTGCTTTCTTTTGATCAGCCAGTCTGCTTTTGTTCTATCTGTCAGGTTCTCTTTTCTGTATAAGACTGACCTGCGTGCCCAGTTTGTGATCCTTTGAAAATAAAGTTTGTTTGTTCGTTCTTTCTGATTTCTTTATTTCAGCCTGGATGTTTCTTCAAATTTCAGGAGTTCTGAATTCTATCTGCTTGTGTCTGTTATTTCTATCTGCGTACGTTCCATAAATGTATACGTATTTGTACTCGAATATGTAGGTGAAAGAGGAGAAAGACGAGAAGGATGAGAATGTGCGGGGAATAATAATAAAAAGAACAACAAGAAGAAGAAGAGGAAGAAGAAGAAAAAGAAGAAGAAGAAAAGGAAGAAGAGAAAGAGAAAGAAGATTATGGTAATGATGTTTATGATGATGATGATTATAATGCTGATGATGATGATGAGATGATGAAGATGAAGAAGAAGAAGATGAAGTAATATCTAATCGTATTGAGAGCCAATCAGTTGTGTGTATCTCTATCTCAAACAAATAACTTAATATATTACAATTTTGATCTGCCTACAGTGAACAGACTGGCAATGGACACGATCAGCTACGTCGACAAAATGCAACAGTTCATGGCAGAACTTGCCTGATTGGATTCTTGTTCCCATTCATCAAACTCTATACATAGTTTTTATTGTTGTTTATTTGGTTTGCCGAGTGCACATCCTGTTTACTTGTTACTGGAGGTGAAAGATCACTTTATTGATGTTTGTTTTTTTAAAGTTATATTTATTGGCAGAAGGCCGAAAGGATTATTTCGTAATTAAAATTTCTAATAAACTAAAATTATTTATTAACTGGTGCCTTTATTCGAAGGATTTAAAAAAAAGTGTGACAGAATCACTAATGCGGAGCTAATGAAGCGAGGTGACGTCCAGGGCAGCAAAAGAGGTCGGCGAGATGTTGATAACATCACCCACCCAGTTCCCATTGGTCTATAAAAATTAGAGTCTGGTATCATATGACCCATGCACCAAAAGCCTATCAAAGGTTTAGTAATTCGACTCTCCTTTCAGCTCCAGTTAGACCACAGTTTCAGTGCCAGAACAGAATTTAATTTTACCCGCGATGCGGCAGAAAATTTTAATGAAATCTGACCAAGTTTTATCATGTCGTTGAGATACCGAAAGTTTCCATTGTTTAGCAGTTGCTCCGTCGGCCAAGTTATGTTTCTTTTCCGCATGAACATAGACAAATGATCTTGCTTAACTCTATCCAGAAGAAAAGGATGTGTAGACCCACCGTTTTATAGACACACACAAAGGCAACCAACGAACAGAAGCAAGAGACATTCCATCTTGCCAGACTTTTTCCAACAGGAATGCTGGATTTGTTGACAAGTGGATTGTTCTATGTCTGCTGTATGTTTTATGTTGGAGAAACCGGTTGTGTTCACCCTCTAGGATGTCTACCGTAAACATTTGAATGCGGTAATATACTGACTGACTCGGCCAAGAAACGCCATCATAATTCATGTTACTGTATGCTTTTGTTATTTCTTTTGTCGATCTTTGAAGAAAATAGACATTGATAAAAAAAATAACAATGGTGTTTTTTTTTTTTTTTTGGTTTCAAATTCTAGTTATATGTGCTGTCACTGACTTACAGAGAATGTTGAGAAAGGTGAAGACAGGCATGCTCCGTGAAGAGTGGCAAGCATCATTTCAAAGGTCCAGGGTAGCATCCTTCAGCTAGTTTCTCTAGGCCACACCAGTGTGTTGGGAAATGAGCAGGCAGACAGATTGGGCGGTTTCACACCACTTGATGGTGAACTAATTTACGACAAGCTAGATCTTTTGAGGGCCCTTTGTGAGCGAGTGAACAGTGCCGAAGATCAGACAGATCCTTACGGTCTGAGGAAAATGGCACTGCGAGGAGTTACAAGGGGATCTGGCCAACGCTCGACACTCAGGGGAAAGGCAAGACGGATATACAATCAGACAGTTACTGGTACCATCGGAATTTTAACTCTTCGCTTGCTGCTAAACACGGGGACGGAGTGCTTGTGGGGTGTCCCGAGTGCGGTGATGTCGATTCTTAATGCAACATTAAATATTCAACAAGTATGTGTGCCTGTGTGTATGTGTGTGTGTGTGTGTGTGTGTGTGTGTGTGTGTGTGTGTGTGTGTGTGTGTGTCCTAAAAACAATTCCTACAATGAGGAAAAAAAACTATTGCCAGAAAAACAAACAGATAAAGGGAGAGAAAGACAGAAAATCTCTTCGATTTGAGTTGGTTTCGACAGTGTTATCAAGAGTCTGGTGGACTAGGCGAGTCAAAAACATTTAACTGATCCGCTATTCTGGTGATCGTGTGAGAAAACGAAACATGACAGCCTACGCTTACCGCCACGGCACATGATCATGGTTATTGAGAGCCAACCGTGTAGTCGTAGCGGTAAGCTACAGAATATAAAATTGTCTAGTCAAATCACAAAGTTTTTAAAATGTTGCACTTGTTCTCAATGTGCTGTGCGGTTTAAAGGTTTCAACAACGGATCAACATCATGGAACACGGGTAGTAACCCATAAGTTTTCCGTTCTTCTTCTAACTCAAGTCTGAGTCCCAAGAAGCTCAGCACAGTGCACAGTCTCTGTAGGACCAGCGACGATCCTGATTTACTTTAAGTAGATTTTGAACTTTAAATGTTGCCGGGGCAGCGCCGTTAGGCTACTGTTCCAACTGCCAAGCTATTTTTTACGAGCGCAATAATGCACACGGGCGTCCGATCTCACTACCCAGACACCAGTGGAATTACTAGAAGTCCAAGACCTCGTGGAAAAATCCCAGCCCTTACCGGGGATTGAACCTGGAACCTCTAGCACTCGAGGCGGATACCATGCTTCGAAACCACGCAGCCCCCTGCAATGTACTGTAAAGAATACGCAAATAACAAGCAACATGTACTAGTACTATACGCTTTTGCTGTTCTAACAGCCTGGAAAGTGCATCAATGAACCGCTGAACTAATTCTGGGTGTACTGTTGAGTGTTATACATACAATACAATTGGCAGCAACACAACTGTACTTCGTGCAAGGAACAAAATTGTGCTTAACGGCTAACTTGAACGAACAACAGGACAAGAATGTATACTTGAATCCTACAGACGCGGTGCAGATGGAAAACATACTTGGAACTTTGACATTACTAGTGTAAATTATAGCATAACTTACACGAAATGAAAGGTTTAATTAAAAAAAAACTGTGAATCAACGGCATTGCAATGACGAAATTATTATGTGGGGGGGGGGGGGGGACCTTTGTAATTGTATGCAATTGTGTCTCAAAGTGTCCTGACTTTGTTTAAGTGCGCAGTAATAATAATGATTATGTGCTCAATGGCACATAAACATAATAATGTATTTTAAATAATGTACACTGCCTAAACATACACTTAAAACGAGAACATCTGTACATCTTTGGAAGGCACATAACTATGTGCCTATTTTCTAGGCCCAGGCTCACCTCCCGCCCCCCTCCCCCCCCCCCCTCAATTCTCTCTACACAATAAATTTAATGGAAAGAATAAACTGACTCTGAAATCTTTCTATTTCTATTGCGCTCAGTTCGATGACCTCCTTCGTTTTTGTCTTCGCGTTTACCGGCTGTAAACTCTAGCGGAAAGTTCTGGTTGTTCGTCCAGCTCTCGGCATTAGTCTTGTTCCAGAATCTGAGTAGTGCGTGCTCATTCATTTTACAGATCCAACCTACTTGAATGCAGATTGTTGGTTCCTTGCCTCTCGAGCAGATACACTCCGACTTCAAAGGAGAACCCCAATTAGTCGATTCTTACGACATGCTTGTTGAGGAGACAGTGGGTTTATTCTTGGGGTCCCGGAACCCACACGGGAAAGTTCAATGACCTAATCGCACATATCGCATTTACATTATCCAGGTGAAAATCGCAAACGGAAGGGGGAAAAAAAACAACCCATTACTGTAAAGATTAGCCTGTTTTTGTGCTTCTGTCGTCTAATTTAATCTAATAGAAAATCTTAGGCGTCAGTTAACTTAAAGCCCGGACAGGATTACAAAAGGATCAACGCAATCCAGAAGGGAAATATATCAAAAGATGTTGGGCACTTAGGGATCTGAAAGGTGAACACAAGCAGAAATGTGAAGAGAAGGTTGGTTGATCGTGAGATGTATTATCTACAACATAGACAGACAAACAGTCAGACGGACAGACAGACAGACGGGCGGGCGGAGGGACGGACGGATGCACGGACGGACAGACAGACAGACAGACAGACAGACAGACAGACAGACAGACAGACAGACAGACAGACAGACAGACAGACAGACAGACAGACAGACAGACAGACAGACAGACAGACAGACAGACAGACAGACAGACAGACAGACAGACAGACAGACAGACAGACAGACAGACAGTAGGTATACCTCAAACATGGTTAAGTAGACAGACAGACAGACGACAGGACAGACAGACAGACAGACAGACAGACAGACAAGACAGACAGACAGGACAGACAGACAGACAGACCTCAAACATGGTTAAGTAGACAGACAGACAGATAGACAGACAGACAGACAGACAGACAGACCAGACAGACAGACCTTAAACATGGTTAAGTAGACAGAAAGACATACAGACAGACATGCAGACAGACATACATACAGACAGACAGGCAGACTGACTGACTGACGGACAGACAGACAGGCAGGTAGACCTCAAACATAGTTAAGTAGACAGACAGACAGACAGACAGACAGACAGACAGACAGACAGACAGACAGACAGACAGACAGACAGACAGACAGACAGACAGACAGACAGACAGACAGACAGACAGACAGACAGACAGACAGACAGACAGACAGACAGACAGACGGACGGACGGACGGACGGACGGAGAGGCAGACAGACTTACAAATTTACGCACACAAAAGTTAGCTGTGTATCATTTACAGGACGTTGCAGAACTAACCCCAATATGTTTTGTGGCTGTTGTGGTTTTTCTATACCGTTATCTCTCGATGCCACTGTCGAAACTAACGCAAGACGGCTGCTAGCCAAATAGCCTGCAACTGCAGCGCCCGAGCGACATACGCCGACAGAGATAAAACTATGTACGTATACAGACACACACACTGAGACAGACAAATATGTCGATAGTCCACTGTTAACGAAAAAACAAGAAGCAATCTCCCTGTCCCTATGGCGGATTAGTGGCAACTAGTTATCGTTATGATTAGTGCCCGTTATATGTTATGACTGAGAAGCAGCAACGAAATTCATTGTCTGTTTAAATTAGGGCTGTACCGAATATTCGCTTCGGGGCCGAATAGTGGACCTAATAACTATTCGTTATTCGGCCGAATACTTGCGGTAACCTTACACCCGTTTCTCCATACACTGCGATAGATTAAAAAAAATTGGGGCAAGACCCACGCCAGTCGGCAAGGCACCCGGTGATGATGATTCACTATTCACTTTCATATTCGGCGGAATAGTTGGTCCCGCTATTCGTATTCAGCCGAATAGTGAAAATCCCTATTCGGTACAGTCCTAGTTTAAATCATCATTGATCAGTGGCATTATGAGAGCTAATAGTTTGAAACGGC